CTTTCTCCCTCTCTCTGGTAAATGCACGTATACTCTAACAAATTAAAAAATAAATACAGTTGGGCCAGCCGGTGGCGTGGAGTTTAAGGGGACTGGATCCCACATAGTCAACATGCAGTTTAAGTCCTGAACCTGGCATGAAAATCACACCCGATCATGTGTACATATGCCCCAAATCTTAGGAGGACAATGGAGGAGAATTGACTGCAGAATGGTCATCCCCATTGGGCGAGTAGGGGATGGAAGGGAGCGATGCTTTCTCACTTTCCTCTCTCTGTCTCTGCCTCTTTACAGCAAGCACGTGCTTTCTACAGCAAAAACAGAAAACAGAAAGTGACTACATAATAAAAGTTTTACAGCTGAAGCAGTTACATTTGTTTTTATGTAACACAGATGCCTTGATTTTTAATAAGAGAAGACCAGTTTCTGGTCAGCTTGGTGAAGAATTGTTTCCTATCTCACTTATTCATGGGGAAAGCAGTCCACCTGAAGGCCTAGTGCAACCGTTCACTTAGAAAACGCTCGGTTCTTTTCTCATTACCTGGGAAACACGTTGTCAGGTGCTCCATCAGTGCTTCTTGGGTGACAGGTTTCCTTGCTGAGTTCATTGCTGAGATGGCCAAGCAAAGGATTTCCCCGAGTGGAATAAACTGAGATTGACTGATGGGAGACATACTGATTGGTGATACATCACCTGCAGAAAGACAATTTTCAAGTGAGTGGTTCATTAAAAGAGCCGGTCATTTGTCATACACACATCTGCACACACCCGCACCCCTCCCGCGACTACTCCTAAGCCCTCGTATTTTGAACACCATAAACTCTGAACACTGAAGCTGGCCATTGCCTCAGCCAATTTCAATTGGGTGGAGAGACTTCCACACACAGGGCAAGCGCCTGTTGCCTCCACAAGGAAAACTCCCCTTTACGATCCAAGATCTCATCTAAACAGACATAGTCCTGAATGGTCTTGCAACGACAGGCTTTGGGAAATGATTTCTGTTTTTATTAACTTGGAGCTGACTTATTTAATAACTGCCATTCACATCTAGACAAATGCATCTGTGGTAACTTGATGTGGTAACTTAAAAGTCAAATGCCTTTATGTGTCAGGCATCTGCTAGGGAACTGGGGACTCCAGGCAGAAAGTCAGTCCGCTTCCCTCCCCCAAGCAGCACTGCTCTCCCAGTTTCCATTTAAGTGGAGGAGACAGACAAGCGCATCCACGTTCATGGTGGGTGACCGTGCATGACAGAAGACTGAACAAAGAACTTTAGGGAGAGGAGAGGGTGCTGCAACACCACCTGGGGTGAGGGTGGGGCGTAGGTGCAGGAAGTTAAAAGGTTTGTGCAAAATTGTACAACCTGAATCCATGCTAAAGAGGAGCCTGGTGGCTGGGAGGGCTGGAGGGGTGTGTGTGTGTGTGTGCTGGGGGAGGTAGCTGGACTTATAAGCAGGCATTTACTGGGGAGCAGAAGAGAAGGAGGACAGGGATGTAGAGACAGCATGAGAAAAGAGTTGAGTGCCCAAGGCTTTCATACAAGGAGGGAAACGGCTGGAAGGAATTCATGGAATGATAAAGGCGGAAAGATGACTGCGGTGGCCACAGGGACAACGGTCTGGAGGATGTGACAGAGAGCAGGTGACACCTCTCTGGGAGCCTGTGGCTTCCTGCACACGTCTGCACACCGACAGGGCTAACAGGAGCATGGGATGGTGATTCCCAAGGAGGTCCACCCTGCAGAGCAAATATCCATCTTTACTTCTGGAATCTTCGCACTGTAGTGAGCTATTTTCAAGCAATGCTCCAAGGAGCCCTAGAATTTCCTGGAGATGTCTCAGGGAGGGATGCCCGCAGCAGAGGGAGAGGCTGGGAGAGGAGGCGAGGCTGCCCTGAGCTGAGTGCCAGCACGTGACCTGGGCTGGCTGAGGCTGGGGGGTGACTCACATCACAAAGACCCCATTAGAGGTGCTCACTTGCTCGCTCTCTGAATAAACAAGTAGATAAATTTAAAAAATGAAATTCATATGGGAAGGAAGACGGGGCCAGTTGGCAAAGGGGGTGATCAAAACAAACTGCAGTGCCTTTGAATTTGGAAACTTCAACTCCCTAAATTTTTTCTATTGCAACCAAGAACTTTCTTAGATGACTAAAGACTCAAAAACACTAAATAGGGGCCAGCCAGTGCTGTGGTGGTTGAGGTGGCTGGATCCCACATGGCTGACTATGGTGGTTCAAGTCCTAGACCCAGCGGCTTGGAAACATGGCGGGGGTGGGGGGGTGTGTGGTGTGTGTGTGTGTGTGTGTGTGCCCCCGCCCCAAATCCCAAGAGAATAGAACAGAAGGGACTGCGGCATGCTATACACCTGGGGTGGGGAAGGGGCTTTCTCACTTTCCCTTTCTCACTCTGTGCCCCTCTCGGTGAACACATGTGACCTATGGTAAAATTAAAGAGTGAATGATTTTTTAAAATGCAAGTCAAATCAATTCCAGATTTTGTATAGGATACAAGAAGAAACTTGCACTCTCCATAAAATAAATAAATAAATAAATAGGACTATTAGCAAAACTTAACTACTTTGGTTTATTTAAGTCATGCTTATCCTAATGTTTTCACCTAAAATGACTTTTAGTTTCACTGCCACCTTCCTAGTTAATTCCTTTTCCTTCACTGAGGCTGTATGAGGCAGCACGCTTTAAGGTGTCTGAACAGCATTTGCTTCGAAAAAAGCCCAGTTTCACTATAATAATGCGCAGTAACTTTTAACCCAGAATACAGAACAGAATGAATTTGGATGCTCTAAATAACAATCTACACAACAGCTTATTTTCATACTGTACTGCAATAAATCTATGCTCTAAATAACAATTCCACAGCAGCTTATTTTCATACTGTACTGCAATAAATCACTCTCCACCACCTTCCCGTGCCCAGTCCCAACACCACCCCTGCGGACCCTACATTCAAATGCTTCCTGGGTCTGTTCCCTGGATCCCATCTCTCGTGCTACCCCTGACTCCAAGCCACCGTCATCTTTCACCTGGATCCTCAAAATGGCTTAAAGACACTCGGCGTCTCCCCTCTTGCCCACAATACTCTCTTCCCTACAGGATCCTTTTAGGAAGACATAAAGCATGTCACTGCCCCGCATAAAATTCTGCAGTGACTACCTGTTGCACTTGGAAGGTCATTTCACCTCCTTCCTAGGCCTCCAAGGATCTGCAGGGTCTGAGCCTGTCACCACCCACCTCGGGACCACTCCTGTCTACTTACCACCTTTCTCCTTACCTCCACCCCATAGACCCTCTCTGTTCTTTGAGTTTGCCAGACTTTTTTCCCCACTCTGGGCCTTTTTGCTTTGTTCTGCTTTGCTTTAATGACCCTGGTCTGGGAAGCTCCGTGGGTAGACATTTTCAGAACAGGCTTCTCATCTTTTCTCAGTTTAAATGTTGCCTCCCCAGAAGACCCTAACCTGATCACCAGCTCTAATGCCGTTCCAACGTGACTCGAATTTACTGTCTTTGCTCAGTCTGCCTGTTTGTCTGACCCGCTAGAATATAAGCTCCATGGCAGAAAAAAGTCCTGAACGTCACATTTCTGGTACCTAGAATAATACCATGCCCCCCCAGACACCCAATTCATGCTTCTTGAATAAATGAACATCCACTATAATGTTATAATCCAAGGAATTTCTTAGGCTAGTTTTAAGGTCTGTGACTTTTTTTTCACATTATTTTGCTAAATACTCGCAAAATCGACAAAAAAATAAGACCAAATAAATTTAAACATGCAATTTTTTAGATTTCCTCCAATTAATTTCGTGAACAACAGTCCCCTCCAAACAGAACAATTACCATAGAGAAAAAATATGTTTAGTGGGATTTTGAGCATGCATTAAAAAAAATTATTTACTTTCAATTTGGTAAGAGAGGGACAGAATGAGAGAAAGAGAGAGAGAAAATGAGAAAGCAAACTACCAGTTCCAGACTTGAACCGTAGTCGGCCATGTGGGAGTCCAGTCTCTTAACCACCACACCACCTGCTGGCCCTGAACTGCATTTAAGATCTATATTAAAGGAATCATAGGTATCTCTTGACACAACCTAACACGTTATTCAGCCTTTAATATGATTTTCTCTGGATCTTCTATCAACTATCTTAATAAGCTGATTAGTTATTCTTAAAATATGCTACTAGAAAATTCTTCCAACAACTGGGCTATATTTTTTCTTCCAAGAAGAAAAGAGAATGCAAATATTGCTAAAATATTGTTGGTCCCCATAATCTACATAATGAACAGAGATTGCCACATTTTGCATAATCTATTGAATTGTGACTTACTTGTCTATAACTTACAGGATGAATTTCTCTGTCATCAGAATTAGTTCTGAACACATTCATAAAGGCAATTTATCTAAAAGTTCATATGTACTTTGTGGGCTACGCCATCCTTTCTAATCTACAATCACTCTGTCCTACAGTTCTAAAAAAAAGATGGAGTAGTAAACAGGTTTTTATTTCAGATATTTTCTTACAAACATCCATTTAAGAACAGTCCTCAGGGGACATTTGTCAAATCTAGAATAATTCCGTTAAAATCAAGTGCAGTGCCTTGGACAGAGTAGGCAGTCAACAAATTTCTGTCAAGCGAATTGAAAATGTGAAAAGACATGAGAATCTTACAATGGAAGGCACACTTTGGTTTGAAGAACATTTAACATTCAATTTAAAATATGTCAGTGAAAATTTGGACACTGTTTTCATGGAAGGTACGTGTCAACGGATTGGGATGCGTAGAAAGATAAATGAACCAGGTGGATGATGGGGGGGATGGAAACTGACACTACGGGCAAGAGTGTGCATGTGCGGTGCATGAGGCGGCACGACGCCAGGGAGCTGAGGCATGTTTCGGCTCAGCTGAAGCAGGCTGGCGGTGAGATGGGGAGAATAGGAGGGGTCAGATTCTGGTCGAGCAGATCTTTTTCTTTTTCTTTTATTTTTTGTAATAGCATATGTGCACTTGCCAGAGATAGAGATAGAGAGAGAGAGAAAGTGAGATATCACCCTCCAGAGGAGATGGCCATACTGCAATCCCTTTTCCTTCATTCTCCTCTCAAGATTTTGGGCACACACACATACTCAGCATGTTTTTCAAGCTGCCAGGTCCAGGACTCAAACTGCACAGTTGGCCATGTGAGATCCAGAGCCTTAACCTCCATGCCCCCTGCTGGCCCCAGATCTTATTCTTGATGCTGATGGGGAACCATCATGTTTTCATACAGAGGAAATACATGCCATATCTGCATCACGTAGAAACTCCCTCCTGCTACGATGGTGACTGAGTTGGTGACTGATGGTTCAAGCAGGCGACAAGGAAGGCCTGAGCCCACAGGCAGAAATCCTGTAGATGCCAACGTGCTCTTGTGCTGTCTATAGCTAGCCACTTCTGCCTCAAGAAACCTCTTTATAAGCCCCTACATCCTGACCGTTTCAAGCCCTCTATCTATCTTCCCTTCTAACTTTCGGCCTGTTGCTTTAGTGACAACCATGTCACAAAGTCCTCTCTTACATAATTCTTCCCTTCAAGAAATACTTGAATGCCTATTGTATTCAAATGCCTTTAGGCACTCAGGTTCTAGAATTATTCCCATTAGTCCTATTTTTTTAAAGAATTATTTTATTTAACTTATTT